AGCCACCACGATATAACAAACAGATGAGTGATGGTGCCGTAGGTTAGGAGTACTTTATACTCATGGAACAGAGAAAAGAAAAGTCATCTCTCCGAAGCACGTTAGCTATAGATTTCCTTAGAGTGGCCCTTATCTTAGAGAAAGGAATGCATTTCTCTCTACTTGCCAGAGAAGCTTATTCAAGAAGTCTGCAAGCATGCTTTGAGCAACTACTGTGTGCACAGTGCTGTTTGGGCACTACAAGAATAGCACAATGACAGCAACTCAATTATTTCTGTCACTTAGATCTTACCAAGAGATAAACACGTAGATTGCTAATGCTACCTTAAGAATGAAATGAGCATTGAACTGTGAAAAAACGTGAAAAGGAGAGAGAGATAAGAAGTGTGGTGCTGTGAATTGCTTTTATATGGCCCTTCTAACCATGGTCTTGTAACTCCCACAAAATGACTGGGACTATGCAAATAAGGTGATTATGGCCCTCCAAGGGGATTGGACAACCTGCTAATGCAAATAAGGTATATGGAACCCTAACGAGGGAACTGGTCAGTTTTGCCATCCCTCTAAGCTTAAAATAAGCCAATCCTAGAGGCTGAGGGGGGACCTCACTACCATCAAGACAAACAGCCAGGAACGGATTGTGTCCTTCGGATCCAGGGTCCCTGTACTGAGAACATCCTAGACCTAGGAGGCAGGCAGAGCTGTAGCAGCAGAGACAGTAAGAAGTAGCAACAGAGAAGCAGTGGCAAGCACATTAGAGTCTAAGAGGCAGCAGAACCAGGAGACTGACACGAGACAGAGCAATGGGCTTCCTGATCCACAGAGAGAGAGCTGAGCATCTTTGGGCAGGAGGCTTCCTGGTGGACTGGGGTGTCTCCAGGCTCTTATTGGCAAAGCTAAAGAGTTTTGTAACATTTACCTGAGCAGCAGCCTAGGCCGAGAGCCAGGGTTCAGGCTGAGAGTGAGGGCCCTGTGGCAGCAACTAAAAAGAAACTGTCCTGATCGAACAACTGTATCCTGAGTTACTCTTGTTACTTTCAAGCTGGTCCTGACCCTGAATTGTAACCTGTTACTTCCCTAATAAACCCCATAATCTTGAGTATGGCCTGTGAGTTCTGTGTGGCTATTCAACAAATTATTGAGCCCAGCAGATAAGCAGAAAGTGCCATAGGAGGGACAGCTGGTGTAAGAATTAGTAAAAAGGTTGGAGAGTGGAGGTATGGCTGACTTCCACTTCACAGGAATTAGCTTTGGACTGATCTCAATCTTAATTGTCTCTCCTCCCCCTGAAGTTAGACGAAGAGGTCTGACACCCAGCCATTTTTACAGGCGGTCATGGATGCCATCTCGTCAGAGGAAAGTTGAAGCTCTGAACCAGAGATGTGGCAATGGGATTGGAATAGAATGAGATATTTCAGAAAATCACCAATTGATTTTAGAGAATGACTGGGTTAAAACGTGGCGAGTTGAAGATGGCTTCAAAATATGTAGCTAACAGAACTGAGGAGATTCTTGAGAACTTTCCTCAGGGTATATGTGAAACATAGGAGAAGCTTTCCAAGGAGATTATTCCTGGGTAAATTTGACATTTGGGATGCTTAGGAGTCACACTAAATCTATGTGTGTGTGCCTTTTTTTATTTTTGCTCATTTAAAAATCTTGAATTCATGAGGACGGTGGGTTGAACTGAGTGACTCACCTCCAAAGAATAGAGTATGGAAAAGGACATACAGTTTTATAGTGGAGAAACCTGGTACACTATATGAGACAGATGATCAAGATTAACATCATCAGTGACGCCATGTTGCTATCATGTACCCCTAACATGATGTCATAAGAAGGATACTTCCTTCCTGTGGTAATCTTTCCCCAAACCCATAAACACAGTCTAATCACGGAAAAACATCAGACAAATCCAAGCTGAGGGGCTTTCTTCAAAATATCTGACCAGTACTCAAAACCCTCAGTATTATTAAAACACACACACACACACACACACACACACACACACACACACAGGAAAGTCTGAGAAACTGTCACAGAACACAAGAGACTAAGGACACAAGATGACTAAATGCAATGCAGTACCTTAAATGAGATGCTGGAACAGAAAAAGGACATCAGTGGAAAAACTGATGAAATCAAAATAAAGTCTGGAGTTAATAACAAGGTAACAATGTTGATTTATTAGTTTTGATAAATGTACAAATGTAATATAAGATGATAACATTAGAAGACACTGACTAGGTTTAGATTGATGAGATTTTCCTATGTTTTGAAAGTTGGGACTGTGTGATGTAATGATAATATCGTTAACAATAATAGCGATCCAAATTTTTAAAGCACTTTCACCTATGTTGACTCATAAACACAATCCATTTCAGTCCGGTGGATTCCAAATCATAGCCACCCTATAGGACAGAGTAGAATTGCTTCATAGGGTTTCCAAGGCTGTAATCTTTATGGACGCCTACTGCCACATCTTTCTCCCACTGAGTGGCTGGTGGATTTGAAGCTCTGACCTTTCGGTTAGCAGCCAAGCTGCTTACCCAGGGCTCCTTTGCTGACTCATAATGGGACAATATTATGAAGCTGGTAGAGCAGGTATTTTTATGCTCATTTTATAAATGAAGAAACAGTGGCTCCAAGCTGAATTTACCCAAGATAGGAATTGTCAGTGTCTTGGGTTTAAACCATGGTCTTATGACTTCAGATCCCGTGTTTAATTTTTTACTTTTACCAAGTGTTAGAAATACAGGCCAATGAATATATGTGTAAGTGTAGATGGGAATGGGAAACGGCACAAGAAACGTGGTATGTGTGCGAGAGGGGCCTGAAGAATTTGAAATCACAATCAAGTTTCAATTGAAATGGAAACTAAAACAAGAGAGAAGGTATCTTCAAAATTTAAGAATAACTAACGAGTTGACCTGTTCTCTGAAGTTCACAGATTTGATTTTTGTTTCTCTTCCACCTGCCTCTCTAGCCTTATGAATTAATGCTAATTTCTCAATAAAAACAAAGCAACCTAATTATCATAGTTTTTCCTTGTTTCCAAAATTATTAGTCTTTGGAGCCCCTAAACCACATTTAATATTCTTTTCCTTCCTCTGGCCCCACCATCACACATTTCTCAAGCTGACACATAAACCATGTGGATAAGAAATTTCTGTTATGGCAATTCTGCTCACATACTTGATATGATATTTTTCCTTATTTAATTTTCCTTGTCCTGATTAAAATAATTGTACCAATAGCCATTAATAGGGAGCACATACACATAATATTACCTTCTTATAATTTAGAAATAGCAATAATCTATAACACTAATTCTGTACATCTGCTATCACCCTTTCAGTCTAATTTATTTTTCCAGCAGCATAAAGCAGAAAATAAACCATGTACAGGGCTCCATTTTGCCTTAAAATATGTTCTTAAAGATGAACTAATTATACTATTATCTCAGATTAAGATTTCAAAGGCAGAACTTCGTGCGGATACTCATGATCATCTACACTCCAAGATGAATGTTTAAAAGCACAAGGTGGAAATCTGTCCTAAAATGTGGTCTTTTGGTGTTGATTCTGCAGCCTGAGGAGCTATCCCTATGCTTTGCTGCCACCTTGGCAAACTGGAAGGATTTACAAGGGAATTCTGCACAGGACAGGCTGGAAATCAGCTTTCGAACTGCTTCCTTGGCTGGCTGGCTTCGCTCTGAGATGGGTTTAAAATGGTTATTACCGAGTCTGATTCCCGTTGGCTGGTAGGTTGCAGAGAGAAATTCGAACATCCACTTGGTGGAGAAACACCGTTTCTCTTTTGAAAAAATAACCCAGTTTCAGCAAGGTACATGTGTTACCCTCCGAATGATTTTTAAAGACTCAGTCTTTCTTCCTTTATTTAGTCCGGAATGGAGACGGGTAAAGAAGGAATCGGTTGAGGATGTTCGAGTGTGGATCTGAGTTTGTACTCTGGGTGACGTCCTAACTCATTTGGGTGTGACGGTGACAGCAGTTTTCTCTGGTCTAAGCTTCCATTCCGCGTCTGGGAAATGACTTGCCTCCAACTCCAGCTAACTTCTTGGGAGTCCAGAGCACTTGGTGGAAGCTGCTTACAAAATGCAAAGCGTATGAGCGGCCAAGGCGGAGGCTCCTGACTTCTCTATTTAATCTCTTCCAAAGGAGCTGGGGAATGTTGGGGACTAAAATCTAGGCGCTTAAAGCTGACCTGCTGTTTTCAGTGTTGGCACTCAGATATTTTTCTGCATCGTCATTCTCGTTTATTTTCCTGTTTATTCCATTCTAAGGCTCTGTGCGTTGCGTCTCTTTTACATCCCATTTCCCACCATTCACATCCCAAACTCCCTCAACCCCTCCCCCCACAACCAATCTCGCCTAGTCCTGTCTTGGTTATTTGAATATGTGGTCAGTTGGCTTACCGGGGCAAGGGGTGCGTGGGTAGGAGGAAGCTTTCCTTGCGGTTTCCTTTAAATTTGGCGCGGGTGGGTGGATGCCCTCCCCAGTTCATCCGGCACACGCAGTGCAGTTAAAGCCAGAGTTAGAATGAACGCAGAGTTCCCAATCTTCAAAGCTCGGCTAAGAAAGGAAATCGGATGGGGAAAGGGGGAGTAAAGAAGTAAAATAAAAACCAACTTCGCGGGCAACTTCAATAAATCCGGTAACTGCCGGCAAAAAATAGATTCCGAGAGCTGGGTCTGGTCGGGATAAAACGCTAGGACTCCTTCCCATCCCTAAGTCTGGCGCTGGAAGCCCGCCACTGGCATCTTGCCACGCAAGTGCCCCCAGTCAACAACACACCCACTGGAAAACGCACAGGAACAAAGCTCTTACCCCGGGAGCCGCCGCCTGCGGTTTTCTAGTTGGTTTCAGCTTCTCCGGGGAGTGTAGGGCGCACACAGGGTTAAGTTAGTTCCCTCCCTGGTAGGAGGGAAAGCAGGGGGAGGGGAAGAGCGGCAAACTGTCTCTAGCTGGGTACCTTGTAGTTGTACGTTCGAAACCTGTCGCCGTCACTTGCGAGTTTGGCATATTCCATTGTCATCGCGGAGGAACGAGCCCTCGGAGATAACATCAGCGGCCTCAATCTTCGCGCCCAGGCGCTGCGAGGCTTCTGCCGAGGGCGCGCTCTCGCCCTCTGTTCCGGGGGTGAAGCAGAGGCAAGGCGGCAGCTCCGCACTCGCCGCCGTGTCCACTGAACCTGGGACCGGGGTGGCAGTTCTCAACGATGGGCAGCAGGGACCTCGGCGGCGATCCCTAAAACAATACCATGCCCCGGAAGCCCCGCTACTGCCTTGCCAGCTTCTTCCCTTTCCACCTCCCCGACCCGGTGGGATTCGGATGAGTCGACTGCGAGGAGACGCGGCCGCCAGGTAAAGGGGCTGCTGTGCCAGGTGAAGTTTCTCAGTAACCACTCGAGCCGCAGCTCCGGGCGCACGGAGTGGTCTCTTAGGGGGATTTTTTTTTGAACCAGCGGGGTGGTTATCGGGGTGGGGTGCTTTAGGTTTTTTTTTTTTTCACCCGGGGAGAGAATAGAGAATAGGGGGCTTAGCAATCCCCTGACTTTAGGGACATCTATTTGTAGGTAAAAATCCACTTCCTCCAAAGAGTTTTGTAACTGAGCTCTGAGTAATAATGCAAATTTGTTTGCCTGGTAAAAGCAGCGATCTTAAATTGGGGTTCCCAGGGCTCCTACGCTCTCCAGAATCCAGCCTCTCACTTACTTCCCCAGACTGAATCTGTTAACTTCCACGAGTATCTCCCCCCCACAACACCCGCCCCCCATCTGCTCTTAATGTCACCGGCGTTATTACCAAGCGATTGCATCTAAAGCCCTCCCGCCCGCAATCCGGGATCAATTAGCCGCTAAAATGAGGCTGGTGCTAGCTCGTTTTCCTTCGAGTTCAGGATTTGCTTTTCTCTCAACCCAAGCGTCTCTCCCGACCTGCTGGCCCTCCCTTGGCTGGCCAGCACTGACTCGGGTCAGGTCGCCTTGCTGGCTCGCCTGCGGGAGCCGCGGGGGCACAGAGAGTGCAGGAGGCTGAGCAGGGATCGCTTTCCCTGCGCAGGGTGTGTAGGCTGCGGGAAGGGGCGGGGGGGATAACGCCCACAGGCGTGGAGTGCCTGGGCAAGGCGACCGCGAGGGTGGCAAGAGCAGAGCCTGGCCAGCTGTCACCGCGTCTCCGCGGGCGCTGGGAAATGCCTGGAAAAATCCCTCCGCCGCGCTGACCAGTCCCAGGCTCCCCCTCCGCGCTTTCAGCGCCGGCGCGGTGGTTTCTCTTCTGTAATCACAGCCAAGATCAAGGTTGCGCAGCTGAGGTTGGGGCGCTCCCCAGGGGAAGGGAGCCAGATGGGAAGAGGGTAACTGGGGCGACTGGACCCACACTTGGTGCCCGGAAAACTCCAGAAGCACGCTGAGCTCGAGCCTGCGGCGGCTGCTAGTGAGAGCTGAGGCGACCGCAGCTGTCGTCTCTGGCGCTTTGCTTCTAAAACATCCCAGCAAGATGGCCCTTACTGTTTGCCCCTTCGGATCAGCGTCCCAGTCGAGTCCCCTCCCTATATATTTGTCACACACCGAGTCTGGGGAGGGGACGTTCTATGTGTATGTAAGTCAAAGCATACTCCTACCCATCTTTGCATAATGCAACAGGAGCAGCGACTCGCGCGCACGAATCTGGGAAGTGTGTGCGTGTGTGTTCCTATGTGTGTGTGTGTGCGCGCGCGCTTGAACGCGTGTGAACCCGTGTGCCAGCATGCGTCTCCGCGCGGGCTGCATCTGGGTGGATCTGTGCGTGGCTTGTGTTTGGGAGGCATATCGGGCGTTTCTCCAAGTCGTTTTAACATGACTTCGGCACTCAAATACGTGAAGGCGGTAGACACAACAGGGATGAGAAGGAAATAAAAACAATCGGAGAAGTGGTGCCAAGTAACACAGGCTTTGAACTAAGGACCAGGAGTGCTGTCGCACCAGCGGCGCGTCCGGAAATCATCCCAATCCGGGTGCGGGCACCGCCCCTGCCTACCTCTTCTGTCCCGAGAGCTGTGCGGATCCCTTGGGAGTGGGTCCTGGGCTACTTTCAAGCTCGCCGGTTGCTTCTGGCGTGGCCCCACCGACCGCGTGTTTCGGCGCAGCCCAGCACTTGGTGAGGGCTCGCTCTCCCTCTTCTGTTCAGATTCAGCCTCTCTCCGGACTTGTTAAAGCATGACAGCAACTTACTGTAGGCAGGAAGAGCGGCATGCAAATGAGAGGAGAAATC